ATACGCTATTTGAGAAATGGAAAAAGTATCGTATAGAGAACTGTATGTAGTGGTTTTGTTTAAGAAATGTGAAATTATTCTATTTTATTTTTATTACAAAAATTAATAATTAATTAGTAGAGAAAGCATCGAAGATTTTTGGCTAAGAATATGATCAGAATATTGGTCGATACATTTATAGTTAAAAATGTTTATTTGAGATTTTAAATGGTCACACACATTTTTGATATTTCATACGAAAAAATGAAGACAATTAAGTTGAATGAGGTGGAAAAAAATTCGGATATGGTAGAGATGAATTGTATATAATAATCTGGCTATTGAGATCANNNATAGTATCCAAGNTTGAAAAACTAATCACATTTAAAAGTAAACATTATAAAAGAAAATTAATTCATCAATATTTTTTCTGTCTATTTTTACCTTGAAATAATACCCAAAAGATTAGTTTTCACCTCAAAGAGTGTAACAAATGATAAGAAGAAGTGACTTTGATCAAACTAATTGTCTTACGAGAAGGTCAGTGAAGTGGACAAGTGGTTTTGTCTTCTGAAAAATCATAGATAGTTGGCAAGACTACGACATAAACAAGAAGATCACTCATTGGTCTTAAACTTCATTCCAAGAAGTTCCAAGTACTCATAATCACTTTTAATCTTAGCTATATTTTTGTGGGATTCCTCTTCTTTTTTATCATCATCAAAATATTACATCTATAATATTGATTTCTTACATACATATAACTTTAAAATAAACAATCATGTACAATTAATTTTTATAAATGATAAAATCAAAATATTAAACACCAAAATTATTTATNCTTTAAAATTTATATCCGCACACGGTACGGATCGATCAGCTAGTTGTGTAGTATAGTTTGATTTTAAATACAAACATAAATTTGTTTTAAAAAGACAAAATCGTAAAACAAAACAGTGTTTGCTTACTTTTTGAATTTCCGAAATCATATGGCTATATTTTTCATTTTAGTTCCCAATATGATTATTTCCCTAATTCAGCCATAAAAAAATGTTAAAATTGTGTGAGTTTAGTCATAGTCACAGAGTTAATTTAGAAAGTTTAGGTCACTGTTTGCTTGTTGAACGTGGTCGAATTAAAACACTTTCTTGTAATTTGCCAATTAAGCTGTGATCGATCATTAGAGAAATTAAACACAACTTAAAGTCGACGTGAAGATAAGATCTGCATTTTGTTTACCAAACCACACAAAAAATAAATAGAAAAGAAAAATCCCATTTAGAGAAAAGAAGAGGATAAAAGTGTAATTTTTCACATTTTGTGATCGGAACAGAGTCCGTCTCCGGCGACGATGAAGTGGTCACTCCTCGCCGTGGTGATCACACACACGATCTTCTCCACCGGAGTACACTCTCATATCCTCCGTGGATCTCCGGTCAATTCTCTCTGCGATGAGCTTATTCATCCCGCTGGTTACTCCTGTACCGAACACACTGTATGTCATCTCTCATCTCTCATCTCTCAGTCGCAGAAAATGACCAATTTCTCCGAATCATGTGCCTTAATGTATCTCTCAGTTTTTGTGTTTATAGATTCAAACGAAAGATGGGTACATACTAGCTCTTCAACGAGTGGCTTCTCGTAATCAAAATCTAAGACTTCAATTTGGTCCTCCTGTTTTGCTTCAGCACGGTCTATTTATGGTATCTTGTTTAATTTTTCTGGGTAAATTGGTTAAGATTCAACTTGAACAATGACCAAGTTGCTAAAAGTCTTCTCTTTTTTTTTTTTGTGTTAGGCTGGAGATGTGTGGTTCTTGAATTCACCTGAAGAGTCATTAGGCTTCATTCTTGCTGATCATGGATTCGATGTTTGGGTAGGGAATGTTCGTGGTACACGCTATAGTTATGGCCATGTAACTTTTTCTCAGACTGATAAGGTATACAAGGACTTGTTTGTGGTTTATTTGTTCATTCTTTATCTATGAGCTTCACCTGAAAATCTCCAAATTAGTTTTGGTAAAGGTACCTCTGCTTTTACTCGTTCGATGTAGAGGTGATATGACCGCTGTTCGGGAAATGTTGTAGTATTGCATTTGTATATATTCTGGAGAAAGGAAGCAAATGTTTCCTTTGTTGAGAAAAGTAAAGCTTTTCAATGCAGGAATTTTGGGACTGGAGTTGGCAAGATTTGGCCATGTATGACCTGGCAGAAATGATTCAGTATTTGCATTCAATTGCAAACTCCAAAATTTTCCTTGTTGGACATTCTCAGGTGATCATTCTTCTGAAATCATGTAAGGGTGTTCTTTTGCTGATTCTTAATAAGCTAACTTTTTTTTTTTCGTTTTCTGACAGGGGACTATCATGTCTTTTGCTGCTCTTACTCAGCCACATGTTGCGGAAATGGTTGAAGCAGCTGCGTTGCTTTGTCCAATATCATATTTGGATCATGTCACCGCTCCACTTGTAGAAAGAATGGTTTTTATGCATCTCGATCAGGTATTCTTGGCTTTCGAATATCATTTAAGTCATTTCAGGGGAGTCACAGTAACATTTATTTGGTCCTCTTTACAGATGGTTGTTGCTCTTGGACTTCATCAAATAAACTTTAGAAGGTTGTGACTTCTGTCTCATCTAGTTCTAATGTGTGTTGATATAGTGCGACTTTTCTTTACTTACATCTTGTAGATATATTCTCTGTTTTCAGTGACATGTTAGTTAAACTTGTTGACTCATTATGCGAGGGGCATATGGATTGCACTGACTTCCTCACCTCCATTACAGGTTTTTCTCTCCTCATCTAATCTCCTTGTAATAAGTATGCAAGGCTTGTTTCGGCTATGAATAGCCTCCATCTGATGTTATAAGCTGTATTTGTATGATTGTGCCTTTCTAATCTTTCTTTTTGAACTCATCGACGAATGGCAGGGAAGAATTCTTTTTTTAATGCCTCGAGGTTAGAATACTATCTTGAATACGAGCCTCATCCATCATCTGTGAAGAATGTGCGCCATCTTTTCCAAAGTAAGATCTCTACTCATATCATTCTTAATTTTACATGTTCATTTTCATAGTTATTTTGTGTGTTCCATGGCCTAGCTTGCTTACTCACACTACCCTTAGATTTGATTATAATAATATGTTCAATAATATGTTTACTCCAGTGATTCGGAAGGGGACCTTTGCACAATATGACTACGGGTTGCTGAAAAACCTATTGATTTATGGGTTGTCGAAACCTCCGGAATTCAAACTCAGCCTCATCCCGGCATCGTTACCAATGTGGATGGGTTATGGTGGAAATGATCTTTTAGCAGACGTCACAGATGTGGAACATACTCTCGCGAAACTACCATCCAAACCAGAGTTGTTATATCTTGAGAATTATGGTCACATTGACTTTGTACTTAGCACTAGTGCCAAAGAAGATGTCTATAAGCACATGATTCAATTTTTCAGGGCAAAGAGAAGGTCCAGTAATTTGTAAAATACTAAATACACTGCTCTGCACATATTTCTTTTCCACAAATTATATGTACTCATGATTGTAAATATTTCCTTTATGAATGAAAGTCGTTAAAAAGAAAAATA